CAAAATCGCTCTCGAATGCGCGAAATCATGAAGTATCAAAAGGACATTGGTACTTGGGAGCCTGTGCCTGGCGAGACTGTGCCTGAAGAGCCAATTCTGCGCACTTGGATAAAGCCGGAAGATGTTTGTCTTATCGACTCCATGCACGCTGGTGACAAGCAGCTTCAGGATGCCGGTATCAAGTCGAATGAGATCCGTGATGACGACGATGAAGCGGACAACGAAAACGCTGATGTCAAGTTGGCACCATGGAACACCACAAAAAACTTCTTGAATGCATGTGCCGGTAAGGCTATGCTGGAGCTTCATGGAGAAGGTGACCCTACTGGACAAGGCTTGGGTTTCAGTTTCATCAAAGTCTCGATGAAGGGTGGCTTTAGGGATGTTGGTGAGAGTGCCGCTGATCGACTTGATAGCAAGAAGATGAAGGAACTCGGCGGTCACAGCTACAACGTACAACGCCAGCAGGTTATGTATGAGAACGCTATTAAGCGTATTTGGAACAAGCAGAAGGAGAGTTTGTCTGCCCAGAATCCGCCTTCCGATACCGAGGACGATGTCGATACAGCCGTGCCTCGCAACAACCTCCCACGTCAACGCTCTGAGATGGGAACGCCAGCTACAATGCGTCATGATGATGAGACAATGTCGCAAATGTCTCGCAATAGCAATGCAGACAACCGCGGCAAGAAGCTCAAGATCACGCGTACCATCAAGAACAAGTACGATGAGTATGAGGACGTCACAGAAATTATCACAGATCCAGCTGTCATTCAACTTTACATCAAGCATAAGCGCCAAGAGCGTCTGCTGAACATGCGTATCGAAGACATCAAGCCCACCGGCGACCCTGAAGTAGACAAGGCCCAACAGATCAAGCTCAAGGCCGAACTCGCCCGTCTCGCCCGCAACATAGAGCGTCGCGAGGGCCGCGAAAAGGCAAAGGGTCTACACAAATCGCAGACAGGCGAAGGAGGCGTAACCGGTGGTCCAGGAAAGGGCGGAGCAACACCTCGCAAGTGCGCAAACTGCGGCGAGGTGGGCCACATCAAGACGAACAAAAAGTGTGTAAACAAGTTCTTTGAAATTCCTTCTCGTCTTTTATCAGTTGAATCGTTTTTCACTAACAGTATTTTAGGCTCTGTCCTCTCCTCAATGGCCAGAGGAAACAAAACGACACTTTCAAGGATGCGAATGCTGCATCGCCGGCTACTGCGACTGTTCCTGCCACTCCTTCTTTCGCCGGTTCGCCGTCTTGAAAATCGGGAGCGGTCTTGAGGATCGTGTTGATAGGCCTATCTCTTATAGTAATGATGTAATGGCCGTCCCGTGGCACTACTACTCGTCAGCTTTGCATTCGCATTGGTTTGAGATGCAGATGTGGCACAAGTATCACTTTTCCAATAAGCGCATTTGCGCTATGATGTGCGGAACAGTCATGAGGACGGCTTCTTCGTGTACATGCAAGTATTGAAAGGAACACCATGCTTGCCATCTGCCTAGCTCAGGGCTGGGTTATAAGGGTTCTACGGAAGGTGTGGTGAAGCGCTGAGAAAGCGTGGTACATGTTATTCTTTCTTTCTTCCTCTCTTGAGACGAGAGTTTTCTTTCAAATGCATAGCGAAGGTGTTTTGGGACGCTGCATTTAATCTTCAGCACGCACAAAGGGACACATTTTTATAGCTGTCAGTCCATAGGAACATTGCAGGCAGAAAACTTAACCCAAGTTAGATCGGGAAGTCATCAATCATTAAAGAGTTGTAGGATCGAATAGGAGGTTATGAGACACTTTGTCTGGTATACAATCTATTCATTTTCATGCTCCATCTCGAAATCAAATTCTCCAAAATACACACATAGAGCCTACCTCGATTAGTTTCTCTATTAAGATGATTATCCATTTTCACTTACCTTACTAGCACCCATCATAGCATAATGTGCCACCTCAAGCTTCTTACCATCCTGACCATACCTTGCAATTTGATTGAGATCCGACGTCCTTGGCAGATACAATACCACTTCGTTGCTTACTTTTGTAAAGGCTTTGTAGAGCTTATCAAGATTGTACGGCTCCATCTTTGTCAGATCAAAGACATTCTCTGCGCCGTACTCGGTCCCTGTAAACTATCAGCATGCATATCAAACCAAAGAAAGGGCGTCACCACTACAAACCTCCCCACGGCGGACTCGCAAAAACAACCACATTCTTCTGGCCCGAAAACCTATTGATGGCATCGAAGCAATCCGCATTCAGCCAGAAGATCTTGTTGCTCACGCCGTAAATCTCGGCATTGTGCTTTGCGCACTTTAGCGTCCTCGCATCCTTCTCAATCGCAAACACGCGTTCCCACCGACCAGACCGCGCAAGCGCAATGGCGTTGCCGCCTACGCCTGCAAACGCGTCGACAATGACGGTCTTTTCCTTGGGTGCAGACTCGGCAATGTGCGCGGCTATCTTGTTGGCTATGGGTTCTGGAGTTACGCCGAACCAGGCGTCTTCGGTCATCCAGATGCCTTGGTCGTAGTTTTCCCAGATTTTGAAGCGTTGGAACCAGTATCTGTGCAACCATCAGAACCTTTTTTCTTTTCTTTTTGTACAGATAATGTCATAGGTTATTATGAGGGAAGGGGGGGGGGAAGTAAACAATACTTTTTGAGGTGTTCGGGGAATTGCTCGACGCGGGACCACTGGTCTACGTCGTTCTCGTTTGCGTTGTCGCTCATTTTGGAGCAAAGTGTTTTCTGTTATTACTGTCAAATACAGTAAGTAATCACCGAGATAGAGTACTAGAAAATTGCAAAAGAAAAAATAAAGAAAAAAGTCAAGCTCCGCAAGTCAAAGACAACCAGCAAAGGTAGAAACCGACCACAATAGTGAGAAAGCAACAATCCTGAACCCACCTTACCGCATCCAGCCTAGCCCCAACCCCAGCACGATTCCCCTTGCTTTGCGTCAAAGCCACATGTTATATCGAGCCATCCAACACTTCTTCCCCCCCCTTACATCCCACTCCACGGCACATCACATCAAAAAATAGCAATTATAGCATCACACACACATACACACCAAGACTCCTCTGGCCATGTCCGTCTTCGGCGCCCTAAACCGCTTCATATCACGGCTCGACGCAGCACCCCTCCCCGACGACGCCAGCCAGCACCACCAATCGTCGACGAATGGCGCGTACGGCTTCCAGGTGCTTCGCAACGCTAATCTGGAGATTCCGCTCGAACCGTGGTTTGATTTTGTGATTGGGATTAATGGGAGGACCATTGTGAGTGGTTGATTCTTTTTTTTTTAAAAAAAAAAATTCTTCTTCTCAATGCACCGCTGTTTTTATTGTTGTGAGAGGAAGATGGGGTAAAGAGAGAAAGAGAGAGAGAGAGAGAGAAAGAGCACGTGCAAGGGAGAGCAAAAGCGGGGAAGGAAAGGGGATGGGCAGGCCAGTAAGCTTGGAGGGAAGGAGGGGGGAAAGGGAGGAATGCTGGACGAGAAATGGATGCTGTCTAAGAGAGTTGTGCTTGAGCATGTTGTATATTTGCTAATCTGTCATTTTCTTTGCACAGGATAATCCGGATCCTAATCTCTTTGCGACGGAGGTGCGGAACTGCGCCGGGTCAACCATTAGCCTAGGCATTTTCAGTGCAAAGGTACGTCACATGGTGTTTCATTAACGGTAGCTGTAGCTCTTTGGGTCTGTGTGCTTCGTTGTGGTCGACTAAGTGCTTAGAGCCGCATTGAGTGCGTCATCATCTATTTGTGTATCTCACGGGAGATTTTGCTTTTATGCAACGGACATTATTCCAAAAGCATATTTTAGCCGAAAACAAAAAACCGTCCCGAACACGTCAAGCGGCTGTCATAGATAAGCTTTTTTTTTTGGTTTAATTCCTTTTTTTCAACTTGTTTATTTATTTTGATTTCCAGAATTACGGGAATCTAACTAAGTCGTTTGTAGGGCCAGAAGATTCGCGAAGTCTATCTTCAGATCCCAGCAGATCAACCCACGCTAGGAATCGCCCTGCAATGGTCACCGCTCGCCGTTGCAGAAGATGTCTGGCATATCCTTGATGTAGCCCCGAACTCGCCCGCAGACGCCGCAGGACTACTTCCCTACGGTGACTACGTCATTGGCAGCCCCGAAGGTCTCGTGCGCGGTGAGTCTGGACTCGGCGAGCTTGTTGAAGACTTTTTAAACAGGCCGTTGAGACTCTATGTTTACAACCATGAGTACAATGTGACCCGACCCGTTACTATTACGCCGACGCGAAACTGGGGCGGTGAGGGAGCACTGGGCTGTGTCCTCGGTTTCGGTGCGCTGCATCGTATTCCCGCTGGTCTAGATGAGCCTCCGCCAGCTCCTGGGGAAACCTTCTTCTCGGCAGGCGATGCTAGCGGGACTACGTCGTTTGACGAAAAACGTCCCTTGGTGTCTTCTATGGGCATTCCTGCTCAGTCGGGTGCACCAGCTGAGCTCTTCGTCCCAGCCAATATGGCGCTACCGGCCAAGTCGCCTCCTCCCCAAGGCACCGCACCGCCGCCTAAAAAGAAGGGCAGAGCGCACCATGTGGCCAGTCCGGCGACTGGTGGCGGTGGACTGGATGATTACTTCAAGGAAGGTGAGCAGAAGAGTCTGGAGCAAGACTATGCACCGACGAAAGGCAGCGGCGTGCCTCCTCCGCCCAAGGCTGGCGGGCCACCCAGAGGTCCTCCAAAAAGTGGTGGAGCAAGTAGAACAGGTACACCGCTGCAGGGTGGTGGTGGTGTTGGTGGTGATGCCGAGAGTGCAACTGGCGCTGGGACAGAAGAGACAACATGATTAGACTATATTGCATGTTAGTAAACGGTCAACACTTGAATTGTTTCCAACCGTAGAGTTACTACAATTGCAAAAAAAAAAAAAAAAAATACAAACAAGAATAAATAAAAAAACAACAACACACATACCTTTCAACATGACCATTCCTTGTCTTTTTCTCCAAATCCTTGATTCAATCCTTCACTCCTCAGCCTCAAAATCCAACTCCTCCCTAAACCGACTGGTCCGCTTCGTCATGGTCGCCATCTTCTTCTCCATTACACTCTCGTTGCTGCCCTGGCCCCCGTGATGCGTCATGAACGAGTCTGTCCGCTTTTGCGGCTGCGGTCGCTCCCCCGCCGTAGCATCGACGGCTGTCGTGCTGGCTGAGGCTTGCTTGCGGCCGGCCAGGCGCTCAAATGACGATGGCGGGGAAGAGGCCTGGGGCGAGATGGGGGATTGGACTGGTGTTGTGTCTGGGGAGGAGGAGGCCGAGAGTGAGGTCTTGAGTTTGGTGGTTAGGGTGCGGAAGATGGGCATTTTGTCGATATGTATGTATGTATGTATGTGTGTTTGTGTGTAGGGTTCAAGTTGTTGTTGTTGTTGCTGTTGTTGTCGTGGTAGTAGTAAGGATAGATCCCAGTGTGGTGAAATGTGTGCATGTATTGAATGGTGCGCGTGTGTACTACGTGTGTATGCGCGTAAAAAAGGGGGGGAAGGGTGGGGGGAAAGTTTATATGTATCAGATATAGATATTGACCGAAGGTATAACAGGAAAAAAAAAGGTTCTAGACTTCTCGACTTGTTTTTTTTTAATTCCCCGTCCCAGGTACAGACGGCAAGGTTAATCGTCAAAATGGAGACGGATCTGTATACCGGGATGGGGCGGCGGGGACACGGTACCAACGGGAGGGATACGAAAGGTTAATGCAGAAAACATGCGAGGGCACAACCTCGTACCTAAATACTAAGCCTTTTTATTTTTTTGTTCCTTTGGCTTGCCCGCCACCACCATATGCAGCGTAGGATAGAGAACCCACCCCCTCCCTAATTTAGAGGGCACGCGAGCGAGCGAGGGGCGGCGGCGAACATCTGTCAGGGGTGTGCGTGTGTGACTTTCAAGCCGCTACCCGCACTTGCCCACCCCGCCGCCGCCCTCCTTCTCTAATTTCCTTAACTGAACTAGTAACTAATTACTCCACAGGACCAAGCATACTTACATACCACATGGTCAACCGCTCCGCTGTCCGCCTCTGTGTTCCCTGTAATGGAGGGGGGCCCTGGCCAAACACCAATCAGGTATGCAGAAAGGGTAAGACGGCGGCGGTGGTGGATCTCTCTTAGCCCAGGGAACCTGCCGTTTGAAACTACTGCGCGTGTTTATTGACCAAAGCAACTCGAGTGTACAAGTACGTTAGGCGCTACTTTTTTGGCGTTTTGGCCTGGTGGGCTCCAGTATAAAGCTAGCGGCGTTGGGGTTGGGTTGGTCCTGCCCAGCCTGGTTTGGTATCGGTGGGGTTGGGCCTTTTCTATTCTTTCTTTGGCGGTTGGTTGCCGCAGAGAGCAAGGAGGAGGAGGGACCCACAGCGGCTACAGTAGTCAGGAAGTAAGCACATGTTTGTGAGTGTGTCGTGCGTTTGCCTGGTGTGCCCCAAGGATTATTGAATGTGTGTGTGTGTGTCGCGGTGTGTGGGGTTGGGGGCATCTGCAAAGGCCAGACCCTGCGCTAGAAGCGCCGATCGGTCAACTGGGGGCGTTTTTATGTATGTGTTTCGTTTCCTTTGCGTGAAGGTTCCGAAAAAAAGAGATGTAGGTTCCGCGGCGGGGAACGAGGAACGGAGACAGGGGAAGGAAAGGAAATTGCCAACGGTTGCCCAGGATGGGGATTTTTTTTTGGTTTCTACATTAACTGTGGAGATTTTTTTTTAATGGAGAGAGGGGGGGAGTGTGTGCATCGTGGGCAAATGGAAGGAGCATGACAATGACATGGCATTTGCATGAGCTTTGCACAAACCAAAACAAATTGGTCGACACATGACTTGTGAGATTGGCGATGATCTGCAGTTGCATGGCGGTATCATCAAGAAGCAGAAGGGCTTCTCTCGTCAAAAACCCGTCAGCTGGTCGTGGTCCGATATCATTAGTCTCATCTACACCCAGCCATATCCGGACGACGGCTTGTTGACACTATGTGCTTTGGGCCAAGTGTAGCGATTGGCCTGCACACACAAGACTATACGTATTTAACAAGTATCAGGAGACGGGCTTGGCTCTTTCATGCTCCAGGCGAAGAAGCTTCCCTCCTCCGGCCCACTTCACCGCCATATGTACTTTGCCGGCCTCTGCGTCCCTTCTGCCATTATTTGCTTGTTTCGTGATTGGTCCAATCAGGAAATAAAGTGTGATTTGTCTGACAACAGGAAACAGTGACGAGAGCAAAGAGGTCATGCGCACCCTTGACACAGGCATCAAAAACAACAACCCCTCCTTTTAACGGCCACGAATCGCAAAACTTGCCAGCCAGGCGATTTGGTCTTTGTCGACGCCCGTCCAGCGTACGGCCTAGGGAGCGGCGTCGCGTACTCGAATCGTTACTTCCGAATTCGGCATGGCTTCTTTATCCGGATGACTGACTACCATAACCGCCAATCGATACGAATCAATCAACGCTTTGTTTGTCCGTGCAGCAAACAGTGGTGGTGATGGCGGCGGCGGCGGCGGCGGCGGCGGCAGCTGGCCCCCTTTCCTTTGTTCGCCATGACTGTTCAGCAGCCGACTGTAAGTACGTATTCTAACGTTGATTTTCCGGGACCCAAGACGCCCGTTCAGCCCAAGCCCCCCCCCCACATCGCTTCGTTCCCTGCAGTAGGCAACGGCCAAAATAGATATCTTGCTGCCGGCTGTTTGCGACCAGCCGAAATCCTACCGGCTAAGTGTTCCTCTCTTGCTCGGGATGCGCAATCTCCCTTCTCGTGTTCTTCACTCCCAACAGAGTCTGGCCAGTCTAGACCCATCCTACGCCTTCATCGCCTCAAGAGCAGGCGTTTCGTTACCATAGCGGTTTGGCCTTGGTATCGACGCCCACTTCTCAACACCCGTGAACCGACATGTGACGTATTCTTAGCTTCTGCCACTCACGGACTCCCGCCCGCATCAAACCACGGCTCAGTCACCGCATCTTTTTTCCTTTGCCGAATCGGCGCCGCCCCAGCCTCACCACCACCCTGTCACGAGGGCTGGTGCCGAGCTTTTGGCTGCTGACGTAGCCCAGGATGACAACGTGGAAGAAAGAAGCCCGAGTCCATTGCATAGTGCATGCTCGACGGCTTGATTATCGGAACTGTGTGCTGTGCAGGCTCGAGAGACCAAACCATCATAGCAATGTGCATGTCCGCACTTGACTTGTATTCAGCAGACGTAATCTATCTCTGCATCTCTTCATTCATCATCAGTGCAAGCACCCGAGGATTTTCCTTCCTTGGATGCAATGTGTCAACCTGCTTTTGAGTAGTGCCTACTTGCACTGCTCTTAAAAAGTAAATATAGTAAAACGCCGTCCAATCCGTTGTGCTAACAATGCTGGGGGGAAATGCCGGGACTAGCCAAAGACCCAGGAAACGAGTGGGGGTTGGGGACCGTGACAGAACGCCAATAAGCAATACCAAGATCAAAATCGCAAAAAAATCCAAACCGTTTCATCTAATGTCCAGCTGGAAGGGCTTAAACTTGGCTCCAATGGTGCTGCACCGTGGGCACGTCGGAGCGCGACCGCGATTGTGCTCACTGACCAGAACGTCGACGCACTCCTGGCACAGACCGCAGATGCATTCAGAGCATGCATAGCTGTCGCGCAATATGGACAGCTTCCGACAGGCAGCGCAGTATATTTGAACAGGAAATAGGGAGTTGGGAGACGAGTCAGAAAGGCCCTGTGAGGGCATATGAAAATTGTGGCCAGACATTGCTGATTCAATCGATGACTCGACAGAGGGGAAAGGCTGCAGATCCGACATGTCCGGCGGTGGAGGCGTCAAAGCATTGTTCAAGGGGGATGCGGTGTATGACTGGAGTTGTGAAGCAAAGTTGAAGGGTGGCATAGATGTTCGGCTGTTCATCATGTGGGGTGAGTGATTGGGTGATTGCGGCACCTGTCTACGTCAGCTTTGATCATAAACAAGACTGCGAAACCTACAGGGGTCAAGTCACGACTATCCTCCTCAGTTGCTGAGGCAGCAGCGTCAATGAGGTCCTCCCACCGTTTGCCCATAATAGCAGCTGCTGTTGCAGGCTCGGCCGAAAATGCTTTTCGGTCATAGCTCATTCTCCGACTGTGTTCTTTTGATTTCTGGCGTTCGTGTTTTCCTCGACGAGCATTCTGCCCTATGGACGGCTTGCGAGGCCGGTTCGGCTTGAGAGAATGAGCTCCCGGAGGCAGAGTCGAAGAGCGGCCGAGAGGTGAGCGCGCGAGCGAGGATGGCAAGAGTTCTTGCTGGATGGAGCCAGAAGTATAGTATGGTTCTTCGGTATTGCTAGGTGGGCCTACGGGGGTTGGGGCAAAGCGCGCGCGGGGCCTGAACTTCTTCGAGTCTGGGTCGGATGCTGCGTCCTGTTCACAGCATGCGTTAGCCTCATGGTATGCAGGGAACGCTGCAGTGCGGCTTCTTACCGGATCTGAATCCCAGTCATACTCTGCACGGTGATTGTGTAACGAGGCCAGGGCAGCCGCAGCAGTCGCGGTAGGCAGTAGTGATGGCCGACGCGTTTCGCCAGGCCCTCGAAGAGAATTGGCACCGAATTCGGACTCGAAGAAGGAATTGTGTTCATTGTTGCTGTAATCATACGTTTGTGGCGCTGCCACTGCCGTCGTTGTAGTAGTAGTAGTAGTAGTAGTAGTAGTAGTAGTAGTAGGAGGTGGTGGTGGTGCTCGTTCTTGTGGTGGTGTATTGACCATTAACAGAAAACTTTCCTACCAGCGGGCAGATGATATCAGCATGTGGTGCGGCTAAAATTCTTGATATTGTGGAAGCTCATACCTCTGTTGCTGGGAGCTTGGATATGTAGTGCTCGGGATGGGCACGTCGAATATGCTCTTGCATAGAGCGAAAGCGCTTCTCCTACACATGGTGGATTAGTCGGCAGCTGGGGCAAGGGAGCTTCGAGGCGTGGGATGACGTGGGGTAGCTAGCTCTCGTGGAGACTTACGCCTGTGCAGCGCTTCCGGCAAGCTGAGCTGTCATGGTTGCGCAGCGGGCAGACGACGACGTTGTTCTCGTCACTGACGGAGAAGGAGCTCGTAAGCGGTGCTGCGCGCGAAGGAGGCATGGCTGCAAGCATCAACGGCAGAAGCTTCTCGGCGAAGCAAAAATTGCGCGGGAAGCTCTAGGGCGGGCGAGAGAAGCTGTGTACGGAGGGCGCGCAGCTTCCAGCCTGTCGCGGCGACTACGGGCAAGGAGCGTCGAGGAGCTCTCGGGGCTCGCACTCAGTGGAGGAAGCTCTGAGCTGAAGTTGCTGCCACTGCAGACAGACGGGCAAGCGGATGCGGGGCAGCTACGCAAGGGCGCGGGGCTTGGGGAAGACCAAGTGAAAGCTTTCTTGGAGAATGACGGTGTCGCCATGCACAGCGGGCGCGGAGGAGGCGTCAATGGGCGTGCGCTGGTGCAGCTGTTGCTGTTGCTGTTTCTGCTGCGGCTGCGGCTGCGGCTGCTCGTGCTGCTGCAAAAGGCAGAGCTGTGTCGCCACGGCAAGCTTCCAGCAAGTGAGCAATCAGACGACAGGCCGGGATTGTGCCTGGGACGAAGGAGCCGGGCAGCCTGGAGAAAGAGCTTGGTGCTGCCCAATGACCTGCCGTTCCCATAGATTGCTGTGCGCTCCAATCAGACGGCGTCGAGCTGGAGAGCGACTCATCATCGGCACGAGGCTTCGCAGAAGCTCGAGTCCCGTGCACTGCCATAGCTTCAAGCCCGTGGATGCCACTGGACCAGCCCGCCCCCGGCGCCTGGTCGTCTGCACTACAAGACCGGCTACGGCGCAACAAACGTGAAGAGATTTTTGCTCCCGCTGCTGCACCCTCGAGCTAGCTGCACCCTCCGCCGCCAAGGCTGTCGCTTTTGCACATGGCCGCATGTCCTAAGGCGAAATCCGGCGCGGCTTGGTCGGGCGCCGGGAAGAGAACGAGAGAAAAACAGCAGGGAAGACAGGGGACGAAAAAAAAAGTACCGTCCTGCCAGCCATGGTTTTTTTATGGCCTGAACAGCCGGTGGGGTTTCGCTGACAGAGACGGGCGAGAAGCGACTGTTGCCTGCGACTGCCTTTGTAGTCGCGTGGTATGATTGGCAGTAGTAGGAGTAGTAGTAGGAGTAGCAGTAGCAGTAGGAGTAGTAGTAGGAGTAGGAGTAGGAGTAGTAGTAGCAGTAGGAGTAGTAGTAGCAGTAGCAGTAGCAGTAGTAGTAGCAGTAGCAGTAGGAGTAGCATGTCTTCAATTTGATTCCAGATGTGGTTACCCATGCCCTCGTGTGCACTTGCTCCTTCCTACCAGGAGCTCGTCTACGACTACCATTTCCGCGTCCACCTTCCAAGCGCAATCTCGCTCCATGACAGCTTGACGGCGCATTGCCGTGCCCTGCTTTCTTGGGCGGGCCCCTTCACGTCTCCCACTGTACCGCAGCTGCCTCGTGGTGTGCTTTGCCTAAACCACCGCCTCTGCCAACCATGTCGCTTTCAGTGCAGTCCTTAAATGGAGACACTTCCTTCCTTCTTACCTTCGACCCACCTGCAGCCCCACCGTCGTCGCCGGGCCTGTTTCCCGGTTCTTTTACGATTCTAGTTGACCGTAAGTTAGTCCAAGGTTTAGGCGTTGCGAGTCGCCCACACTGGTTCCTCGCAGCATGTCATGCCCCTGGACGCATGGCGGCCATGTGCTAACGCTTTGTTTTGTCGGCAGCCTGGCTGACTGGGCCATCGATTATCCTCAACTCGGTCTTCTCACACTCGGAGCAAAGGGCAAAGCCGTCCATCTCGAGCCTCCGCGACCTGGATCGCGAGCCCGACCTGGTGCTGATATCCCAAGACAAGCCCGACCATTGCCATGAAGCGACGCTGCGCCAACTGCCACCAGACGGCGAGTCGACCATTCTAGCCATTCCCTCTGCAGCCAAGAAGATTCGATCGTGGAAACACTTTCGTCCCGAGGCCGTACATGCTCTTCCACGATTTGCACAGGGAGATGACCGATCTATTCATCGCATTGTGCTACCGCCCCCTTCGGCTCGAGGAACGTGTGGTGAAGTGACGGTGACCTGGATACCTGCGAAACGCGACATCTCCAAGGTCCACCATGCTATTGGTATAACATACCGGCCTCCATGCACGGTGCTCTCTTTGCTCAGCCCAATGCACTACATTGACCTTCCCATGAGCCCACCTCCGTCGCCAGGATCCCCGATGACGATTGCGTCGTCGCCTCGCACCATTGTGCCCTCGCCGTACAACAATCGTGAAAAGACGCTGTCGGTCATCTACTCGCCCCATGGAGTTTCATACGATATGATACGGCCATACGCCAGCTCGTATCTTGTTTCTGAATCAGCCTTGCCTCTAACGGCGCTTCTTCATTCTTTTGACTGTGTCGAAAACCCATGGTGGCTTGGTGGCAACATATCAGCCGGGTCTCCGGGTGGGACTGAGATCGCCAAAAGCTTGTACGCAAAAGCCTGGATCTCTGCCCACGATGCAGACAAAGACAATCGTGGATGGGCAGTCAAGCTGACGCAGATTGCACAGCATGCCGCTGGAGAAGTGAGGAAGATGCTCGACGAGGGCGTTGTGAGGAAAAAATTGCCAAATACAGAAGTCATTACGTTAAGTTCTGGGGAATGCCATCGGATTACTGCAGGCTGAAGCGCTGCATGTCGCAGGACAAGTACAGCTGTTGTGGTATTCGCATGTGGCCTCGCCAGCATGTGGGTGGCCCAGACAGAGAATTGCTCATTAGCCACGTCGACGGAGAGGGTGGCGCACAGAGGCCGAGACAGGGCAGGAGTGCTGCATGGTCTTGGCCCCCATGGAGATGAGGTATGTTTGAGTTTGGCGTGGTGAGAGAGGGCGGACAAAGTTGGTAGCAGAAGGCTAGAGCATGGCTTGAAACGGGTCGCACTTTGTCGAGCTCTGCGGTCGTTTCTTGTTGGTAGCTAGTTCTATTTTGGGTGACAGGTCAAAGGCAGCGGTAGCGTATGGAGATGGCAAGCGGTTAGAGATGGCGAGGATGCGGCTATAGTTGCAGTAGACAAGGCTGACGCAGGCCCATGACGACGTCGAGAATGGACCCTGGCACATGAGATGGCAGTTGGGGTGCTGTGGTTTCACGTGCGCGTGCACGTGATGTTGGCTGCCCACCTGCGGTGCCCCTTTCTCTTACACCGCTCGCCTACCGAGGGCTGCTTGGTAGTATCACGCTTTTCGCAACAGCAACAACCGCCAGCAAGGGCGGCAGGGAAGGGCGAGAGCGCAGTGTTTCGGAACAAAACACGCGCATGGCAGACGTAGTAGTCGTCAGTAGGGTACGCACTGCAGAAGCAACGTTACCCTGGAGATGGGGGCGTAGGGCTAGCGGCGGACCTGGAGCTAGTCGTTGCCGGCCAGACGCCAGAAAGTGCGGCGCAGGCAGACAGGCAGGGCAAGGCCCGGCTCGCATGCTCAAAAGCCCGCTGCTTGGCACCACAGCAATGCCGGAATAGACGGATGCACATGGACGGGCCCAGCATTGACAGGCCACACGCTCAAACAAAAAAAGAAAAGCCTCTCGCCCTGTGTCGCCTGGCCGTGTGCATGTTTTAGCCATGCAAGGCGAGGAGAGGGCGTTCACAAACGGGGCGTGTGCGAGTGCCACAGCATGACGCCGCACCCGGGCTGCTGGGACTATTGGTGTGGCTGAGGGACGCCGGCTGTTCTTAATCCAGACGCGCAATCTCCCCGTACGACAGCGGTGGTGCAGAGCCTTTGCGCTGACACGGCGCTCCATGCTGCCAGGGAAAAGGCGACAGCTCTAACGGACAGCGAGGGGAGACATGCACCGCACCAGCGCAGCGATCCGCAGCGCCTGGCAGGGGCGGGCTGGAGATGCTCGCTGCTCGCTGTCGGCCGGTGTATGGATGGAATGGCTGTGGATGTGGATGCGGATGCGGATGCAATCAGGCACTGTCCAAGCGCCAAGCCTAGCGCAAGACGGAAGTCGGGTCACGGCGAGCGAGGGCTGACGGCCGCAGAGCTGCCAACTATTCGAGCTTCACACCCGCCGGCTTCTGCTACTCCTCGAGCTCGACTACACTCCATCCACACACACACACATACACGCCCATTCTTGCCGACCCCCGTTGCTTCTGCCCTCGACACCCACTCGCCCGCCCGCGCACAGAGCCACAGCGAGTGAGCGAGAAAGAGACATAGTCGTCGCCCTCTCGTCCCCCTTTGGACCGTCGTGCGCCGCTACGGTGCTGCTCCTCGCATCGTCTGCACCACCCGACCCACTCCCCATCTCCCTCCCACACCGCACACACTGGCTTCTCACGCCTCGTCGACCCCGACGACGCAGCGCTCGGCGAAGGCTGCCTCTTTGATGAGCGTCACCATCCATGAGTCGCAGATGATGCCCGCCTATGCCACCGACTCAAACGGTCGTTCTTCCCTTGCACATGGACAAACCGCCGCGTCGACTACACCGCCACCCAGGGACTCCTTCACCAATGGCAACTCGCAGCCCATGAACGCGAGGCTCACCAATGGCATGAGCACGACGCACGCACATCCCCACGCACGTTCAACCAGGCCCGAGAGCATCGATAAGCGCTTGTCGCAGGAAGAAAGCCGCTCCAGCTGGCACCGAGGCGACTCACACGACGCCGACACCATGCCCAAGTCGTCCGACACGCAGCGCTGGTCGACTGAGCGACCGGCCAGAGACGATGGCTACTTCGCGTCGGTGCACAGCACAAAGACCAAGGACAGACTGTGTGGCAGCACAACCCACGTCGAAATGGGCCAAATAGACGTAGGCGATGCCGCAAGAGAAGCGAGCAAAGACTTTCACGTCCCCTACGCGGGTTCAGTCCCTAACGCTCCCACTTCGTCATCGCCCCAGCCTCAGGCCGAAACTGGCACCCCCAGCCTGCAGGTCCCAACCAACCAAGCTCAGCGTGCCTCCTCCCCACCCACCTTCACCAACGCCAGCAACAACAGCAACAACAACAATCCCGGGCCATCACAACATCCCTACCGTCTGCAACAACGCCACACGCTCGAGGTGCCCAAGGTGCAATCCTCGCGCGCTCGCGAATCCCAGAACAGTACCGACGACGTCATCAGCGCAAGCGGTAGATTCTCGCCCAACCACCCCCATAGGCGCCGAGGATCCATGTCGCTCGTGCGCAGGAACACGCGATCCATCAACTCTGACATGCCTCCCGAGGAGGTGCCGCAGGATGACGAAGCTGCACGTTGGGCTGAGCACATCCGTCAGAAGCGGGCCAGCAAGAGGAAGCGCAAAGAAGACGAGGATGAAGATCGCGTCGTGGTAGGAACAAAGGTGGATCAAAACCACGTGAATTGGGTCACGGCCTACAACATGTTGACCGGTATCCGCTTCACTGTCTCGAGAACAAACGCCAAGATGGACCGAGAACTTACCGACGCCGACTTCGACGCAAAGCACAAGTTCTCGTTTGACATGTACGTGCCGACCGGCTTTCCTGCCGAGACGAAGCTGTTGCTCGAGTTCAGTTTCACTTCGTCTGCCAGGCCTGCTTCTCTTTGACCCCTGACACGATACTAACAACCTTGCAGAACCGGCAACGAACTCACGCCTTCCGCAAAGTACGACTTCAAATTCAAGGACTACGCGCCATGGGTGTTTCGCCACCTGCGTACTATCTTCAAGCTCGACCCTGCCGACTACCTTGTATCGCTAACCAGCAAGTACATCCTTTCCGAGCTCGGCTCGCCCGGAAAGAGCGGTAGCTTCTTTTATTTCTCCAGAGACTACAAGTACATTATCAAGACTATTCACCACGCCGAACACAAGTTCCTTCGTAAGATACTCAAGGACTACTACAACCACGTACAAGAAAACCCTAATACCCTTCTTTCCCAATTTTACGGCCTGCACCGCGTTAAGATACCCTATGGACGCAAGATCCATTTCGTCGTCATGAACAACCTGTTTCCCCCACATAGAGATATTCACCGCACATTTGATTTGAAAGGCTCGACCATTGGACGAGACTTCAAGGAAGAAAACTTGGCCGCCAACCCTCGGGCAACACTCAAGGACCTGAACTGGTTACGCAGAGATCAGCACCTCGAGCTGGGGCCGGTGAAGAAGAAGATGTTCATTGAGCAGATGCAAAAAGACGTAAAGCTCTTGCAGCGTCTGCACATCATGGACTACTCACTGCTAATTGGTATCCATGATCTGGAGAAGGGCAACGAAGAAAACCTGCGGGACAAGACCCTCAAGGTCTTTTCCCCTGGCGGCGAGGAGTCACCGGATCAACCACCCAATCAGCTCATGCGCACACCATCCAAGTTGGAGAACGCGCGCAAGGCACGAGAACTAAGGCAGATGGTCAAGACACAAAAGCCTGTACCCATGGGTCAAACATCAAGCAAGATGCCGGATGAGCTGGATGATGCTAACCGCGACTTCTACTTTTACTCGGACGATGGTGGCTTCCGAGCCACCCACGAGGATAACGCGCCTGGAGAGGAGATTTATTACCTTGGTATTATTGACTGCCTGACACATGTAAGTTTTGCTAGGATCTTATCGAGTGAAGACTGGTTGGTGACTAACAACTCTCTAGTACTCGTTCATCAAGCGCATGGAGCACTTTTTCAAGGGCATTGCAAATACCGAGTCTCAAATATCTGCCATTCCTCCAGAGCGATACGGAGATCGCTTCATCAAATTCATCAGCGCCGTCACCAAGACCAAGGAGGCAGCCGAGCGTGAGAAGCAAGAACAAGTGACAAACGAACTCAACGATCTCTCGTTGGATGGCGTTAATGCAACTCCTAACCAACGGTTGTCAACTGAGCGTGTCATTGAGAAGGCTGAGCATCAAGCCGACCGTTCAAGAAGACACGGTCAGAATGAAGAGGATGTACCCAATTTCCACATGAGGGCAGTTCGCAGCCCGTCGGCAGAGAGAGGGGAGATGGGCACTACGCTTCCTGTAGTTGAGGAAGTCGGAGAATCATCCAGTGTCGGTGGACACAGCAGCCGCAGCGCAACAGACAACGCAGCTGGTGTGAGCGAGCACAACGAGCGATCGTCATCATTGCCATCGCAGTCTGCAGGCACACCCTACCTTGGCCCACCACAACTCCAGACAAGAGCCAGGTCACACTCAAGAGAGAGGGACCAGTCACTCGGGAGGGCGCCACCAACGCCACCAAAAGATGCTGGACGTCCTCCCACACCGCCAAAGGATGACTACATGTCTAACAGGCACTCTGGCCCCCCAACACCCCCCAAGGAGGACAAGAGCAGCAGAGGCATCCCCCGCTCATCGATAGACAAGGACCTTCCACGAACACCTCTTGAAACCACGATCCGTGTCAACTAAAGCAAGAATAACACTCCAGGGGGATCGATCGAACCAGGAAAGATTCGTCTTTCTTTTATTCAATGTAAACACGTCTCTTTTCTGTTTCTTCCTCTTTTTTTATGTGTGCGTCTTTGTCCATTCTACTCTTGTTAATTCCACCAACCAATCAATCACAACCACCCCATTCGAATCAATATCAAAAACTCTTGTGTCCTTTTTTTGGTCCATTTTCCTCTCTGTATGTCTAGGAGTTTTGTTTTTCTTCTTGCATAAACACTCCCCCAGCTAAAATCCCCAACCTTTCTGTCTCTCTCTGTCTTTGTCGAGGGGGGTTCACTTTTTTTTTTTTTTTTTTCTTTTGACCCTACTTTCTCTCTCTTTCCTATGTCCCTTTTTTTGTTTTGTTTTTTTGTGCGTTCGCGAATGCATGATACCATGAGTTTGCTCAACCGTCCCTGCGGCCCGCCCCTCCCCCCCTCCCTCCCATCATGATTATTAGATCTGATTGGAAATTAGTGGCAGCGTGGGCGTGGCGATATATTTTTCGCACCGCGGGATATCGGATCTGCTTTGTCTTGTTTATCCTCTGTTTTATTTTCCTTTGTTCGTTTTGCATGCTACTGCTGCTGCTACTGTTTATTTGGGAAGGGGGGTTTGGAAACCGGTTTGTATAGCGTTGGTTTGGCTGTGCATGAGCGTGCAAGGGAGAAAGGGAAAGTGGAAAGAGAGAGAATTGGGGAAAAACTTTATATTGTTTTTTTTTCCTTCCCTTTCTTTGTGTTGGACTTTGTTTTTTTTTTCTGAATGCGGGTTCTGGAAGTCAGTCGGCTTTGGCAAGATTGAATGGGAGGGTTGGGGTGTGGGAATAATAGTCGTTTGTGGATTGGAGAGAGACAGAGAAAGAGAGGACATATTAGCGGTGCTGCAAGAAAAGGCACACAGACAGACAGACAGACAGGCAGACAGGCAGCAAGGGACATGGGCTGTGGCAGTAGCGGCGCATTAACTGGTAGATAGATGGCAAACAAATTCAAATGCAAACATTTCACATTCATCTCCCAGTTTCAAACAAGTGTGTACACGGTGCAGAAACATTCGACACACTTCAAAGTTGATAGCATAATAACGCTCGATAGTTACGTCGTCGTGCTTGTTGCATTATTCAGAAGATTCAAGACCGCAATGGCCTCAGTCTATCCATCCATCATAGTCTACAATGCTACTACTACTACTACTACCACTACTACTGTTCTTCTTCCCCTTGAAGCAGTTCGCTTACTTGTAAAAGTCAAACTTATCCGCTTCTGTTGCTCCCTTGACCTGGCTCGTGTATGCCTCCTCCAAATCGCTCTGGATGATGTTGTACCGGTTCTTACGTACGGCTCGCAGACCCGCCTCTTGCATAATGGCTGCGATAATGGCACCAGAAAGTGGGTCGTTGCGCACAATCAAGCTGTCGAGATCTACCTCGGGTGATAGACTCATCTTGCCGGCAATTGTGGAGAAGATGAGTCGGCGCTCACGGCGGTCTCGCAGTGAGGGAAATTCAATCTTCCTGTCAAGACGGCCAGGTCGAAGAAGCGCGGGATCCAGAGTGTCGGCACGGTTGGTGGCCATGATGACCTTGACATTGGACGTCTGATCGAAACCGTCCATCTGATTGAGCAGTTCCAGGAGAATACGCTGCACTTCTCGGTCGGCACCCGTCTGCGCGTCGAAACGCTTGGTAGCGATGGCGTCAATCTCGTCGATAAAGATAATGGATGGCGAATTCTCTCGCGCCATTCGGAACACATCGCGGACCATGCGTGGACCCTCACCAAGGTACTTTTGCACAAACTCAGACCCTACGACACGGATGAACGAGGCAGTTGTGCTATTCGCCACAGCCTTGACCAACATCGTCTTCCCGGTACCTGGAGGGCCGTAGAGCAGCACACCACGCGGTGGGTCAATACCAATTTGCTTGTACAGGTCAAAGTGTGTGAGAGGCAGTTCGACGGCTTCCCGGATTTCCTGCTTCTGCATATCCAGACCTCCCACGTCGGCGTATGTGACGTCGGGCTTTTCATCCTGACCAAGCATGGCAATCGAGGAGTCGGCTTCGGGGGGCAGAATGTCAACAAGAGCATTCGAGTGGCGATGGAGGGCAACGGATGAGGATGGCTTTAGTAATTCACGATCGAGGGTGGAGAGGATGCGAACGACATAGTTGGAGCCAGTCGATGATTGCACGATGCCGGTGCTGTTCATGTCAGTCTCGTGACGCAACCGGTGCATTGTGTGTACGACTTACTTCTGATCAATTGCCTCCATGAACTGTCCGATAACCAGTGGCACGCTCTGGATGCGTTTGATCTCCTCCTGTGCCCTCACTAGCTCGCGCTTTAGACTCCGCTGCTCATCCTTGATGTACTCTTCCTGAAGGTGAATGTATCTGCGGCTGTTAGCCACTTGTTGTCCAGATATGAGACGCGCACTACGCACTCTAATTGCCGTTGTAGCTTCTTGAAGGTGGAGTAGTCGTCGTTTCCCTCGGTCGAGAAGCCCTCCAAGGCGTCGAAGTTTGGTATCGATGACGGGAGCTGCTTCTTGTGCGGCGGGACTGTGTTGGCCGGGTTCTCGACGGCGGCGTCAGCCATGGTGATGGAATTTCAATAGTCTCGGTAAAGATGCGGGTTTGGGTTCTAACGGGTCGACGGTGAGAAGACTGTAGCAACTGGTGATTCGACGTGTTGAGGTATGGGTGAGGCGGTGCTTGTCAGTCGCAATGGTGCTGAAGCTCATGGAAGGCGCGAGCCATCGGGGGTTGGGGGCGCTACCACCGACGTCACGTGAGGGGAATGATCTCACAGCACCCAGTTGCTTCAGACAACACATGTGGCAGGGGGAGGCAAAAGCAACTTTGCGATGTATCAGACTACATATGGGCTGCATGAGGCATACACAGCATGCATACGGTAGGATCACGATACATGGACCTGACAGGCTGGGATTGGCTCGCCCGTCGACTGGGTCGGGTTAGGTATGGCAGGTGAATGGTCATGGACCCTTGTCGACTACCACCCAAAACAGCGAACGACACCATGGAACGGCGTGGCGGGGAGCGACGAGGGAATTGCGGTGTGGGCATCTCTTCTCGAAGAAGCTCACGGTATTCAAGCACGTATCATGCTGGGGCGGCGCGGGCTTCCGAGATTCGAGGCGGCCAGGCCCCAGAGGGAGGTTGGCTCGCCGGAGATCAACCGGCGTACTAGGCGGGCGGAGGCCATGGGAATTGGTAGCAGTGGCAGTGGGACAGTGGGAATTGCAGAGTCGGCCTGTCAGCGGGGCCAAACAACATGGGCCCGGACATGTAGAGCAGAGGGCGCCGGGACAGCCAAAGGGACTCGGTGTGGCGCGCTGCTGGGGGGGTCAGACGGTCGGGCTGGGCGATAGTAGTCAAGCGGTCTGGCGGGTGCCCACTCTCGACGCCCAGCGCAAGCGACGACTGCAGGCACAAGGTGATGTAATAAGTGGAGAGAACGAGCAGATTCCGTGTCACGACGGCGAGAGACGCGGAGAATTCCAATTGAGTTAGGCCTAGGCTTGTGAGCTGCCGGAACGCAGGCACTCGACTGGCCTGTCGCTGTCGCGACGCGCGAACGCGTCTTCCTGCTGCTCGGATGCGACTGGATATGGCCTGGAAATCTGACGTGCGAGGCTCTGCGGCCGTCGTGTCTGCTCGTGCTGGTCCTCTCGCCGTCCTGGAGTCGCAGTCGTCGCCAGTCGAAGCCTCTGGCCGGCCTGCCATGCTGGATGAGGCTAGAGGGCTTTGCTTGGCAACAGCGCCCTTCTCGCTCCACGTCCGCTCCTCAGCACCGCATAGTCCGCAAAGCGCGTCTGCGCTACGTGAACATCTCGACTGCCCCCGGAGCCACGCCATTCCGCCTTGCCCTGATGACAAGAGCATTCTAGCGCTACTCTCCTCTTGCCGCACTGTGTGTTGACTGCTCCCGCTCGCCGCTCTCTGCTGCTGCTGCGTGCTTGTCCGGGGCTGGGCTTTCGTCCATACCCGCTGCTGCTACGGCCAGCAGAGGCGCGTCGTCCATCTCACCATCAACTTGCTTGCTGACGCCGTGCTCGCCAGGTGTTTTCCAAGCCCCCTCACGTGCCTGAACACATACACGCTCCCTCGCCGCTCTCCTCGGCGGACACGCGCCTTTTCACTCGTTCCCGCCGCGACCATCGCCCGTCGGCCCTAGTCGCGCTCCACCATGGACTTCCAGTCTCCCCAGAACACCATGTACGACACCTCAAGCTTCATCGATCCCAGCGCCATCGCCAACCCCCAGATGAATGGCGCGCGCCCCTACAACCCAATGCCCCAAGTCCCTCAGAAGCGAGACTCCACCGGCGCCGCCCTCTCTTTATCCCGCTCACAAACGCCCTCCCAGCAGCCCCAATTCGGCTTCCAGCACCAACAGCCATTCGCCAACACGCCCTCGCCCACCATGTCGAGCCAGCACTTTGCGCCTGGCCAGATGGGCGGCCAGCGGATGCAGACTGCCTCGCCCGCGCAAAACCCTCATGCGCCCCAGATGTCGCCCATGGGCTTCCAACCCTCGCCCATGAACCAAGCATTCAACGCAAACTCCGGTAACCAATTCCCAGTTCAATCCGTCCAGCTGTCACAAAATCTGCAGAGTCGCCAGCAGGAGGCACAGAGGCAGTACGCAATGCGCCTACAACAGCAGCAGCAGCTGGGCAACCTCGCCGCGAGCAACATGGCAGCCCGACAAGGACAGCAGCCAGGCGCACAGATGCCCGGCGGAATGCAAAACCCCATGCAGCATCCTGGTATGCAGCCAAACATGATGCAAGGCCAAGCACAACAACCAAACCCCCAGGTCCAATATCAGCAGTTCCTCAAAAACGTCGCAGCGCTATATGCTCAGCAAAACCGGCCGTTTAACCCGCAGCCTCAATGCGCTGGCCGTGTAATTAACTTGCAGAACCTCTACGCCGCCGTCTTGCGCTTCAAGGGCTCTCGATTCGCTACCCAGCAAAATGGCTGGCCGCGGATCGCACAGATGATGAACATACACCCACAGCAGTTCCCTAATGCCCCTAATGAGTTGCGCCAGATCTACGAAGCAAACTTGCTCCTCTACGAAACTGCCTACATCCAGCGACAGCAGCAACAGCAGCAGCAGATGCAAATGCAACAACAAAAGGGCATGCCTCCACAAGGGCAAATGGGTCAGATGGCACAAATGGGGCAAATGGGGCAGATGGGTCAAATGAATCAAATGGCTACTATGGGTCAGCAGATGTCCCCAACAAGACCTACAATGCCAGGACAGCAAAACAATATTGCGGGACACCAGGAGTACCTTCAACAGCTGCAAAGATCGCAGGAGTCGCTGAAGCAACAACAACAACAACAGCAGCAGCAGCAGCAGCAGCAGCAACAACAAGCCCAGCAACAGCAACAGCAACAGCAGCAACAACAACAACAACAACAACAGCAAGCCCAGCAACAACAACAGCAGCAGCAGCAGCGCCAATCGGTCCCACCTACCCAGCAGTCCCATCAACAAATCGACCCAACCACGCACCTGCCACAATCGACGCCGTTACAAAGTAATGCAGCACCTCCAAGAGTCAACGGTAACACACCACAGCCAGATATCAATACGCGAAAGAGCCTCAGCAGACAGTTAGAGGGAACCCCTGTTCCAGGCAAAGAACCTAACCAGGCACAACCTTTGTCAATGAAGCAGGAAGAGAATGCCACAGTCGCCGATCCGGCTTTGAATGCTATGGAAGGACCTGAGAGGCGGAAACCTGTGATAGAGCAAGATGATGGCACAAGAGTCTACCAACCCGCATGGCGAACTCAAGATACCTGGGGGGGTCTCGACTTTGACTCTGACAACTTCAAAAACATGATCGACACCATCACAAACTACAAGCCAAACGTGCCGATGCTGCCAGAGATGGGTGTAATTGACATCCGAGCGATTACCATGAGCATCAGGTCGGGTTTGCCTGGCGAGGCGCGCTTGGGACTCGACACCCTCACACACTTGACGTATGACAACACTATACAGTTCAATCTGGCCCACTGCGAAGATTTGACAGAAGTGTTGGTGGAGTATGCAGAAGACCTCTTGGAAACATTGGGCAACGACAATCCCGAAGTCACCGACATTATCGATCTCATGTCCTACGAGGATGTCATGCACCACTGCCGCGAAGAAGCTGCCTCACTACTGGAGATCCCACAGGTCGGGACAACCGCACACCATCTCAATCGTACCGCTGACCGGCTGCTTGCAATCACCACGATTTTCCGCAACCTATCCTTCCTCGAGGTTAATCATGACTCCCTAGTCAGCCCATCAGTTCTGAAGTTCCTCGCAAACTTCATACGCCTTGTGGGCACACGGGTTTTACTTCTCCGCTCACATATGAACACCTTTGAGTTCATGAAAGACATTGTTACTTTCTTTTCCAATACTAGTGCTAAAGTTGTTCTGCCTAGCCGTGAAGATGCATACGCTGTACTGCACTTCCTATGCGCCTTTGCTCCAATGCCACGACCTGCCGAACCTGTCAAGTTTACGCCCTTTGATCCTCAAATCCACCGCTATCTTCCGTCCGCAGTCGACAGTCTCGCAAAGCTTCTCGCTCGTGACGATCCCAACCGGACGTATTACAAGCAGATATTCATCAACGAGGCGACCGCGACACCAGCGTATGACCTCCTGACACGATCTTTTGCCCTCGCCATCTCAGTCGTGCCTGACCGCAACTACATTGAGAACAAGATGTACCAATTGAAGGACCCGCGTCCTAAGGAGGTGCGCATGTTTGAGGCGCGTATCGCAGAATCGCGAAAGGCCTACCTCATGCAAGGCATGCTGGCTGCAGACATCCTCGCCAGTCTGGCCCCAGGACCGGAAACTGGCATCTGCCGTGCATGGCTTGAATCAGAGGACGGCTGGGCACATACGCTCCTCAAATTTGCAATGTCTCTCTCAGCCACTGATACTGCCATCCCTCACCCTCCCTTGCCACCAAACCATCGCGGCCCACGACCCATGGACCACGACCGAGAAGGTTTCCAACTTATTGTGCACCGTGCGCTATCGACTCTCAAGCGCCTAGGCGACAAGTCAAAGGGCGGCGAGCTCCTTGTCAAGGGCGTGCAGCAAATGAACGGACACATGGACCACGACAGTATGGATGAGGACGAGGATGATGATGATATGGAGATTTTCAGTTTCAACGGCAGCTCATGGAGGGTGAAAGCCGATATTTTACCCCGCAAGGAGACGCTACTTGGTGCACTGTTGACAGCGCAACTCGATGTTCGCAGTCTAAATCAATTCTGTAAGATTGGGTATCTGGACGAGTAAAGGAAAACGAGGGATAAACTTTTTTTGGGAAATTTGGGTTGACTTGGAGGTTTGGGGCGGGGGCTGGAATAGAGATGCCTTTTGTTTCTAGGAGTATTTTCAAAAGGGACCGATTCTTTTGGGGGGTTTCTGCTTTGCATAGTGTGTATGTGTATGTACGTGTATCAGAGTGTTTTGCGTGCGTCTCTATGTCTGTGTGTGTATAAGCTTTGGGGGAAGGTGGATGATGTGCGGATACATACAGATTTGCACTGGCTGGCATTTTTGATACTTTTTTTCTTTTTATGTACTATTCAGTCGTACTATCACAAAATGTACCTATCGATCTGCTTGCTAGCTGCATTCGTGGAAGGGGCGATGGAGGGACTACTTCTTACTCATCATTGTAATGTCTTTTCCAGCCACGCACACAAGTCTCTTAGCTCGGCGCCGCTCATGATATGGCCCATGTTTTCATACTCTTTGATCGTCGTCTTTTCTTCTTTAATCCCGAGTCCGAACAGTCTCTCATAGCATAATCAATGATGCCGTTTAGGAATCAATTTATCACTTGTTCCTCTTGCTAGAAAGACCTCTACTTCATCGTTCACATCCTTCAGTAATCCGGCTTTTTCTCGCAGCGTCGGTATGCGATCAGCCAGTGGAAGATAGCCAGATAGTTCGAATAGTCCCCCAAGTCTCCCCGAATACTTTGATACAAGCCCAGTCAACAAAGCCATAGCATGGCCCTGGGAGAAGCAGACCACAACAATCCTCTTCGCAGGCACGCCTTGCACGACAAGATCATCAAACAAACTCGGTATATAATCTACTGAAGCCATCCTCCCTTCCTGATCTTCATCATCCTCGAGTTCCGGGCGTGAAGGCGGATACGGAGGCAGGCGCGTGGGTAAATACCACGCTGTGGTTGTAAGATCATGGTTCTCAAGGGCATTGGGAATGACCCAGGTCATGTGCGGTAGTTTTTGAGCAGATTGGGATTGGCGTGGGATACCTTCTACGCCTGTGGTATATCAACCAGGCCATGGATGAAGATGATGGCGGAGGATTTGGAGGGGTCGCTTGGTGGGATTGCGGGAGGGATGATTATGGGCGGGGTTCTTTTGGGTGGCATGGCCTGCTGTTTGGAGAATGGTTATGGATGCCATGAGGTGATAGCATATAGCGTGGAATAATGCGAGCAGAATCTAGTTTAGTCCGAATGGTGTATGTACCCCACATGGTTGTATATGCAGGTACGGACACGATGTGGGCTCCGGCGCATTGGCATGTGATGAACTCCCACCCAGTAACCTGTCCCAACTCGCTGCAACGTCACTTTGCCCACCCCACCGTCCACGATGCCGTACGTCGAAGTACTCCCAAACTCGGCCACCACCGTCGCGCCCGGATGGACGTACGTCGTGGATACCGGCTACGACCCCTCCAAAGTCGCCATCAACCCAAAGAACAAGAAGCGCGCCGCAGCAGCAACACCCGGCGGTCAACGTGGCGAAAATGAACTCTCAGCACGCCAGCAGACCGCCATAGCACGACGCATAGCAGAGCTAGAACGCGACAACGATCCCAAGCAAACCATTGCTATTCCTGGCAAACCAGGCGTGCCTAAGACACAGAATGCTCGCAGAATCATACAGTACCAGCGCCAGATCAAGCATTGGCTCGACGACGAAGAAGCGCAACTAGGCCTCGTGACAACCGCATCGCGAGCTCAGCCCTCAAGGAAACAAAGTACATACGCCTCCATACCTGCGACACCCATCGAGCCAGTGCCCGCGACCCCGGCTATAGCGCAGACGCCGTCTCGCCTCGATGACACAAATGCAGACGATGACGACGCGCTGCTTTCTATCGATCGCGCGATGCCGCTGCCGCTTAATCCTGAAGAGATGGAGGCTTTGCTGGCTGCGCCGCCGCTTTCATATGCTGCAAGCCATGTTGCGGCACCTCCTGCTGAGGCACCGCCGCAGAGGCAGTTTTGCGATAATTGTGGCTATTGGGGGCAGATCAAGTGTCGGAAATGTGGTGCGAGGGTTTGTGGGTTGGAGTGCAAGGATGCGCATGAGGCTACGAGGTGTTTGAAGTGGGCTTGAAGATGGTTGCTACAGATTCATCTTTGCCTTGAGGATCTTGGTGGATAGGACCGCCCGGCTTCCAGAGCTGCTTCGGATTTTCTAGCTTCTTTGCCGTCGGTTATGCTTATGGTATTACATTCCCATCATGGAGAAACGCGCTGTTGTATTTGTCCAGCCTCGGACTGGATGCGAATACAGCACGTGTAGCAGCGCATTTGTCGAGCGGTTTGAAGCCGAACCCACACATGAAGTTAACTGTCTGGTCTTTGGGATCTGCTCATATGTAAGCAGACCATACATGCCTTTCGGGAATGTAACTCATGTTCAAACTATCTCGGATTGTCAACACGAATTACCACGGAAACCCCGGTCGTAGTTCGATGTACCGGATATGCTGGAGACTTCGAAAACAGCAACTTCGACATAGCCAGACCAGTGAAGAAGAAATGGACAACATGACCAGAGTTCACAGACATGATTTGACTGGCTGTAGCTTACGTCTTCGATGTGCCACACATTTTTTACTGCAGTTATTGAGTCAAATATGTTTTGGCCAGCTGTAGGCGAAGGACGAGACTATTGTCCATGTAGTAGTAAGAGGGGACAGCACTTTAGATCTTCAGCCTGAAATCTTCAGTTCGATTCTTAGCAGCAACAAATGGTGTACTTCTTAGTGTTTATCTATATATGCGTACAATATGCAAGTCATGTCGTTCAGTCTTGATCTCGACTATCATCCTTGCTGCCATATTTACGTTTCACTGTTCAGTTGGATAATGCATTATGAGCAAAGCAAACGTCAAACCAGCTATCGAGACTGCAAGAGCTGTCGGATGCACACCTGATGTGTCTTGCGCGCAAAAACTTGACCAAGAAGGACTGCATGCGTCTCTCTTGTGCAGAGGTGCGTTGGAGGTGCGCAGTTCATCGAGTGTCAGGTGTGCACCTACACTGCGCAACTATGCACTCAAGATTATTGTCTAAGACTTTATCTTCTACCCTCACAGAATAATTCTACACATATATGATATCGCAACAATACGTCTACGAAGAACCTTTATTCGTGGCGCTTATGCTTTACATTGGTGAACCCGAGTCCACGAGTGTAACCCGTTACTTTACAACTCCATCTCTACCATCCTCTCCTCTCAACCCAAGCAAAAAAAAACACATTGCTCAATCCGCTTAAACCCATCCATAATCTCTTCCGTCTTTGTCAACTCTTATTGCTGTAAAAGAAGAATGCACAAGCCCCAACCCTCGTACCACTTTTCCCCAAGCACCCCCACATCCCTCCAACCAACTCCCCGAAAATCCAAAAGTCCATACCGCCTTGCCAATATACCCCTACTAAACCATAAATACAAGCATTCCCAGAAGCCTAAAAAATAACCCATTACGTAGAGTTGCCGCACGCCCCCCTTCCACCCTTGTTCCGCTCTCGCCCTGCCCTGTTTTACCTTAACTTACCCCTCTATGTCACCCCCCTCCCCAAACAAAAAAACCCACACACCCCGCCATGTCCGTTTTGCTGCTGCCCCTCAATTTCCTTCTGCCCCTCTGATAGTGCTGCAATCTACAGCCCCCAGTGCAAAGTTTCCCCTTTGAGTAGTTCACATCTGCGGGGTTCAACATGGTCGATGTTGCCAACTTGCACACCTCCCGAAAGTTGCAGTTTTGGAAAATGGTGACATAGTGAGAATATTCTTTAAAAAAAACATGCGTTAGAAATTTGAAGGAAAATATTTGCACTGCACCAACTCATATTTTTCCACACTGGCAAAAATGTAGAATCATGTCACCATGTTTACCCTACAGCAAGCCGCGAAGCAAGTTTGAGTGGATGACAGGTAGTGAGTGTAACCTGGCAACAAAAAAACAATCACTGTTGTCCCGTGCCAGACTCGAACTGGCGGCCTTGGGATATCTACTAGAGACTAGTAGTCATATTGTGAAGGATATGAGACCCACGTGATAACCAACTACACCAACGAGACGATTCAAGCTATGCTTGAGTTGGGGAGGATAGATGAGCATATTTTCAAAGTAAATAATTATAAATGTAGTCAAAATGACAATAAACGACGAATCACCTGGACAGCTGTACGGCGGTTGTGTAGGTGGGGCAAAAAAGAAAGAGCTTGCAAGAAGAGGGGTTGCTTGGAGCTAGCATTATGATCTGCAGATTTCAAGTCAAGCGGCAAGAATTCATGGAGAGAAAAATTAAAGTTGCGTTTAGAGGTATTACAAATTATACCATAACACATTGACTACATAAGTGTATGCAAAAGAGAAGAAGGCTGGATCACACACAGTAACATGCTGCGTTTACGAGAAAAGACCTTTTTTGCGCCACTCTGAGTTGTATAAATAAAAACTCCATACTTGATGCAACTGAGAAAAAAGAAAACGCCAATAAGCTGGTCTAGTTCCAGGTCCAGACCCAGAATGTATACTTTGACCCATAGTTAGAACTATGGACCGAGACGTTGTCCCACGTCTGGACTCCTGGGACCCAAGGGGATGCCTGTTGTAGGGAGGACACCGTACCGGCCATACGTCTTTTGATCCACACTGACGTAATGCGGGAGTCGTCCTAATAAGTTGAGTTTTGTTTCGATCCACCGGAGGATTTTCTCGTGCGGGACGAGGAACTTAATGTAGCCCGTTGCCCATAGGTAACCGAGACCTGCGCCACAGAGGTGGCCAACCAGGCTGACGTAGGGGACGAGGATGCTGGTTATGACGATGAGGATGAGGGGTGTTGTCCAGGTGGGGATCTTGTAAGGTCCGACACTGCCATGGTTTAGCGGGTGAGAGGTGGGAGACTGGAGGGGAAGGCACCTGAAGAAGGGATTTGTCTTTTGTGTCTTCATTACTTCGGCGGAGAGTAGGAGGAATACCCATACACTGTATTATGTCAGTACCATACTCTGGCCTCGGGACAAACTGGTTTACATACCTCGCACCCATGACGGCGGTGTTGCTCCTTAGAACGAACTTCTCTAACAGTGTGTATACGCCTCCGGGTATGGTTCCAAAAGCTGCCACATGGTCAGCGTCAATGCCCGATTGTACCATGACTAGTCTTCTTACGCCCAGTGAACAGTGCCAATGTAACGAGTGTTCCGTATTCCGACTCGAAGCGCTCAATTAGTGGCGTGACTGCGAAGAGGTTGAAGATCATATGGATGAAGTTCCAGTGTAAGACGGGAAACAGGTTAAGTCGGTGCACTATACACATACTCTATTAGCATTACATCCAAAATAATCTTCAGATGGACTGCGCCAGATTACAACTCTTGTATATTCGGATGAATAGTCGCACATGGACAATACGAGTTCCTAGTTCTCCAACGCAACGGACGGGCTTCCGGAAGCGCCGCAACCCGTCGCCAAAGTGCAAGCGACCAAGCCCTACATATCCTCTGCCCGGAAATCGAGAAAAGCACATACTCTGCGTAAAGTCCATCTTGGCAGGTTCCAAGCGCCCAACGTCCCGAATCCAGGGAAATGGAATGGTAGCGATCCATAATCCGACAATGGCGGCGACGACGACCTTTGTGCAGAAGGGCAGGCGCAGGATATAGGACCGTATGCGCGCGGGGTTGAACTGAGGCAGCGAAGGTGCAGGCATGATCGGAGCGCGTTGTTGCTGCTGCTAATGCTACTGCTGCTTACTGCGCGGGAAGACGAGCGGACACAAGATAAGTACGAGACTAGGGTCCAGGCCCGCGTTGCACTAGTGTGATCCTCCCGCCGCGCTCGACTGGACCACCTTCCCAGACGGATTGCCTTGGAATGCTGGGCCGACAGGAGGACACGACTCCTATCCTTTCTCCTGCTTTCTCACACGAGGTGCAGATCAAGGCGCCACCATGGCATTGCTTTGTAAGCGCGGCGATTCGTATCAGACAAGAGGGGTCATTGCTAACAAGTCAAGCATCACTACTGGCGCTCCGGCAAGACAAACGCCTGCTAAAGATACCACCCTATCTTTCTGCTCTCCTCGTCATTATCGGCATAGGATGGCTGCTGGTACTTCCGCTGAACGAGTACTCGCGAAGGACATACATATCGGAGAATGCGCTGCTTCCGGGACAGGTACATACGTACTTTACTGGCAGTGAGCACAACGTCTTCCGCGCCTATCGCCATGAGGTCCACGCCTTGAAAGACAGCCCGGCGGCAGAGTAGGTCAATTAGTCCCCAAAAACAGGCCAAAGAAGCTGACTGTATCACAGACGATCCCAGAAGCTCGAGGCTATCTTCCGCGAACAAAACCTCAAGGTTGCGACCCAGCACTACAACTATACTGTCTCGAACCGCACTATCGCAAACGAAAATGTCTATGCCATACTCCAAGGTCCCCGCGCCGACGCTACCGAAGCCATTGTATTGATCGGAGCCTGGACAAATATGGAAGGCGAGATGAACAACTCGGGCGTCGCATTGGTTCTCACACTGGCACGTTACTTCAAGCGCTGGAGCCTATGGAGCAAGGACATTATCTTCCTTGTTACTGGAGATAGCACGATTGGATCTCAGGCCTGGGTCGATGCGTACCACGAAGGGCACGACAAGCGATACGTAGAGAGTTTGAAGATCAAGAGCGGGGCATTGCAGGGTGCTGTTGCGGTTGACTATCCCGCCGGTCCATGGGGTCACCGCTATGATAAGCTGCATGTCGTGTACGATGGGATCAACGGCCAGCTTCCGAATCTCGATTTGATCAACACTGCGGTTCAGATTGCGTCTGGTCAACTGGGCATTGGTTGTGTTATTCAACGCATGTGGAACCACGGCGATTCCTACAAGGAGCGTCTGCAGACTATGCTTCGAGGCATGCTTTCACAGGGTCTCGGCCACGCAACGGGACCTCACTCCTCATTCATTCCGTACCATGTCGATGCCATTACACTGGTGACAGTCGGAAACGGCTGGCATGACGAGATGTCGCTTGGAAAGACGATTGAATCGCTGTTCCGAAGCTTGAACAACCTCCTTGAGCATTTCCA